CACATACTTCTGTGACACAAAGAGGGAAGTGACCGCTAGTCATCGGCCCCGTCCAGCTCACACCCACCCGGTGCCGAGAGATGATCACACAGACACGGAAACTAGTCATCCGCCCCGTCCGCTCACACCCACCCGGTGCCGAGAGATGATCACACAGACACGGAAACTAGTCATCGGCCCCGTCCAGCTCACACCCACCCGGTGCCGAGAGATGATCACACAGACACAGAAGCTAGCCATCCGCCCCGTCCGCTCACACCCACCCGGTGCCGAGAGATGATCACACAGACACAGAAGCTAGCCATCCGCCCCGTCCAGCTCACACCCACCCGGTGCCGAGAGATGATCACACAGACACAGAAGCTAGCCATCCGCCCCGTCCAGCTCACACCCACCCGGTGCCGAGAGATGATCACACAGACACGGAAACTAGTCATCCGCCCCGTCCGCTCACACCCACCCGGTGCCGAGAGATGATCACACAGACACAGAAGCTAGCCATCCGCCCCGTCCAGCTCACACCCACCCGGTGCCGATAGATGATCACACAGACACGGAAACTAGTCATCCGCCCCGTCCGCTCACACCCACCCGGTGCCGAGAGATGATCACACAGACACAGAAGCTAGCCATCCGCCCCGTCCAGCTCACACCCACCCGGTGCCGATAGATGATCACACAGACACGGAAACTAGTCATCCGCCCCGTCCGCTCACACTCACCCGGTGCCGAGAGATGATCACACAGACACAGAAGCTAGCCATCCGCCCCGTCCAGCTCACACCCACCCGGTGCCGAGAGATGATCACACAGACACGGAAACTAGTCATCCGCCCCGTCCGCTCACACCCACCCGGTGCCGAGAGATGATCACACAGACACAGAAGCTAGCCATCCGCCCCGTCCAGCTCACACCCACCCGGTGCCGATAGATGATCACACAGACACAGAAGCTAGCCATCCGCCCCGTCCGCTCACACCCACCCGGTGCCGATAGATGATCACACAGACACAGAAGCTAGCCATCCGCCCCGTCCGCTCACACCCATCCGGTGCCGATAGATGATCACACAGACACGGAAGTTATGCCAATTGTTGAAAAATCGAATGTCATAAATTGATGACAGAAGCGTTGATGAGAACGAGTTCGACACTCGCAAAGCGCATACAGCGCCGTGCCACGCGGTTTTGTGGCCAAGCCGACGGGACTCCTCACCACAGCAACACAGCCGGACCGTAACAAATCCTCCAGGGCCCCACACTGTATCACGCACCAGTGGCGTTGCCACGACTTCACTCGGAGGGGACCAGGTCAGGGCATAAGGACCCTTTCATTCGAGGAACCCCGTTACCTGCTTATGGTTGTGGCGGGAGTTTTATTTCGCATGTCAGACGTTTCGAGAACACCGTTTTGCGCGGCTCCTGCCTGTGGCAGATTCACTATATTTCAACTGTCGATCACCAACACCGTTGCAATATTGCCACCGCTATCCGCAGCGATTCTCAAACGCACCGCGTGACAAACGATCTGTTTGCTGTTTCCTGTACTGGTGTTCTTTACTTAAACCTAAACGCATTGTCAGTGACTGTTTAGCTTTTTATACCTTCTCACGCCAGTAGGCTGAAATGATGCCATTTATTGTCATTTTGGCTGGCCTAACGCATTTTGTAAATAGATGCATACAGTAATATAGCAGGCAAAGGCAGCAAGCAAGTGTGACATACTGCCTTCCAGTCATCGATTCCCACATCTGCTCGCGGCAAAACTGTAGGCCTATATTACGCGAGAAAACCGCAGGGAAAAACGGCAGCAAGACAAAAATACGGAGCAAATCATCTGAGACGTACAACTGTGATTAAAGTGGACGCTAAATGCTAAGTAAAAATCAATAAGTGCCCAACTTGTAAATACTGCGCTTCTGACCTTTACTGCGGTTCGAGATTTGTTACGCATTCGAGCAACTTCCAAAAGCTGTTTCGGCCGTCACCGCATGCGCCAGATTCGCCTAAATTTGCCGCTGTCCCTGATGCAGCGCGTAGGAATGTGATCCTTCGTAGTAATTCAGAAATGCAGCCTGTGGAAATCTTGCGAACTGCCGCGTTACCGGAGCAGCAGACATCCACCACACGTGGTTAAGTTTCCAATGGCCTGTTATCAACCCTATCGCCGTATCATTCGCAAATTAGCTTCGTCCATTTTGCGCGACTTCTCCCATCGCTATCCAATCCAGCGGCAGACGTACTACATTTCATTATTGCTATCGCTTATGATTTTATGTCGCAAGGAATAACTGGACGGCTGCTGAGCAGCATGCTGGCGGCCGCCGAGCCATCTAGGGCGCAACCGCTTGGTCGTGGTTCTGAGCTGCGACGGCTGTGCGGCGACAGCAGTGTAACCGATCGATCGGGGGCATTTGGACGCCGCCAAAATGTTAAATGTCAATCTTTTCGCTACAGTTATATAAGTTTCGTTGAACAAGGTGCGAGATAGACCAAACAATCATTAATGAAAGGTGGACAAAACAATGAAAGGAAATCGGTGCACGCACGGGCAATAACATCATCACCACCCTACGGACGGCCTTGTCGGATTCAGCAACATTCTTCTAGCTCCACCACCGTTTGCCCAGCGATTTCTGGCCTAACAGCCGTACAAAGATAGATCGTCCACACAAGTTATAGACAGCACGTTGGTGGGCACTCATAATTTTAGCGTCACCACCCCTATCTGCCCAAATATGCTACAAATTATAAAATACGCCGAAAACGAGCAACTTGATCTTGACCTCGTGTACACGCGTGGCATGTGGCATGAGCAGTCACACCTGATCTCACGCGATGCTCTTACCATTCCCTATTAAAACGCATCAACGTCAGGTCGCTCCGACCGGCGGTTGTCGAGATATGCCCCATGCTTCAGACAGCTGCTCGCTCGTTGTCGGGATCTGCCCCATGCCTCAGACAGCTGCTCGCTCGTTGTCGGGATCTGCCCCATGCCTCAGACAGCTGCTCGCTGGTTGTCGGGATCTGCCCCATGCTTCAGAGAGCTGCTCGCCCGTTTAGCGTGAATCACATGCTCACGCTGCCATCGCAAAACCAGTGGGCTGAAAGGGCACGTGCCATGCGGCTCCGGGCATCTCTACTGGCAGCTCCGCGTGTCAAACCGCTGCTGTAGTATTTCGGCATATTTCATAATCATACGGCTCGTGTGGAGATGCTTGGTGTTTTGGGGCGCGCTGACAGACGCCATTTTGGGCCGGAAAGAACTGGTAGGCAGTATCACATTAGCATTACACAGGGGAATTATATCTAAAAGCTTAACGCCTCTGCAATAAATGAAAGAAAACACTCAGTGATGCAGTACACGCTGTGACTAGAGTTAAACAAAGAAGGGTCGGTTCTCGAAATGTCACCGTAAGTCAAAGACAAAGCTTGTCGGCCACCATGACGCAACCGCCCTCCTATGAATCGGGGATAAGAGCGGTCGGTAAAAAGTCATCGGTGCACTGCACCTGAAGGATTGGAGGCTCTCCTCGCCATACGGTGGTTAGCCACGTGTCTCAGGAGCGACCTGAGTTACGGGCGCAGCCAAGAGGGAAAGAACCAGGGGCTCTGCCCCCGGCTGTGTATGTGTGTGTGTGTGTGTGTGTGTGTGTGTGTGTGTGTGTGTGTGTGTGTGCGTGCGTGCGTGCGTGCGTGCGTGCGTGTGTGTGTGTGTGTGTGCGTGCGTGCGTGCGTGCGCGCGCGTGCGTGCGTGTGTGTGTGTGTGTGTGCGTGCGTGCGTGCGTGCGTGCGTGTGTGCGTGCGTGTGTGTGTGTGTGTGTGTGTGTGTGTGTGTGTGTGTGTGTGTTTGTGTGTGTGCGCGTGTTTGTGCCCGTGTCTGTATCTCTGTATATATCACCACCGACACCAGGAGCGCGTCTTTTTAAGGCCGCACAACGGCAGCCGATGGCGCCGACCCCTAGGGGGCGGAACGGCCCAAGGGCGCCCCTATACATAAATAAATTGCCCTCGGAATGGAAATGACGCTTTGACATTTAAGCCCGTGGTAAACATAGCTCGTTGCGAAGACATGTGACCCAACACAGCACTACAGGAATGTCAGTCCAACTGACAGCTTTTGCTTGCAGATTTGAGCGTGCCTTACAATGCAGTGCGGCCGCACATGATTCAGTCATGGCTGGTTCGGCCAGCTGTCAGCTGGCCGTCAAAGTAAAGCCACCGAGGTGCGGTTTCTGGGCGCTGACCCCACACGTCCGTAACCCATCAGCCAATGGCCAACGCTCTAGGGAGCCCAGTGACGGCATTACACTAAAGAATTAAAACTGAGAAAGGGAACTTCTGGCTGCTGCCTCCAGAATCGTTTGCTGCTGTGCAGCCCTCAGCAATGTGCCATATCGCGGTGGTTCGCCGAGCGCGGAGTCATTCGTATTCAGACTGTTTCGTTTATGTCATGCCCATTATTTGACACCTGATGCAATATATGGTATATCTACATGAAGCGGCGTCCAGCTTTTCAGAACGTCGATGTTGGCGGGGAGGGTTCTATGTACTTTGCGGTCGCGGGTTACGCTTCGCAATGATTTCCTCCATGACCACTTTTCGCCTGTCCCTCATATCACCGTCCACGCTGCATGGCCTACGCTGATTTGTCACCGGTCTTCTATACCATTCCCTGAGCGCAGAGCTGCTATATGACTGGTATGGTCAGTTGATACTCCCAACTGATGTGTGGCGATGTCCCGACTCCGGAAAGCGCGGCTCTCCTACTGTTCGTGAATAACGCGGAGCAGCGTTGGTGCAAAGCAATCTACATGAAAAAATATGCGTGGACATCGGGCATTCCGCAACCGCTGTGCGATACAATTTGGATCTGACTGTGCATGTTCGTGAGAACACTGTGGGCCTCTGTAGTACACAACAATCAAAACCAATTTCTGTGGCGTAGAAGGCTGCAGTAAGCCATTAAACAAGGTCTCTGATGAGCAATCACCATACAATGATGGTCATGGTGCGAAAATGTATTAAACTCTGAATCAACACAAACGAGCGTATTATCCATCTCCTTCGCTTCGCCAGACCCGTGACCCCCCAGCGCGGCATCTGGCCCCTCAGCGCTATCGTACATACTATTGTCTCGTCGTCACAGAGATAACTACACCTAGCAATAGAGCGTGCCCCAGCTGCCGCGCTGGCCCAGCGGCTCAGTGGCGCGCACTGGCGCGCATTCAAGAGTATTGCTGCTGGCCGACGCCGGTCCGTCGGTGACTTCCGACGGGGACCGACGAGCCTCACCTCTCCTCCGATGCCGCCCGTCAGACCGTCCGTCGGCCCAGCGTCAGCCCGATAGCTGTCGTCAACACGCGCCGCGGCGGCCCGGCCGACCGCTCCCTCCCCCATCCCCGAGCAGATTATCACAGGCGGCGGCGCGGCCCAACGGCAGCGTCCTCAGGATGCATAGTACTGTCCCGTGTGCACGGCATGACCGGCCGCCACCAGCACCCGGTCCACGAACACGTCCTCGGCCTCGCTCGTGTCCACCAGCCGCACCAGGATCAGCTGCTCGCCGGTGATCGTGTCCACGGAGAGCTCCAGCAGTTCGGCCACGAACACGCCGGCGCCCAGCAGCCGCTGGAACGCGATGCAGTCGTCGATCGTCCAGTCGGAGTCGGCGGGCCGCACACCGCCCAGGCGCGCCTTGACCGCCTGCGCCGGCAGCTGCCGGAAGGCGGCCGGCAGCGGCTGCACGCGGCCCGGCTCCAGCGGCACGTAGCTGAAGTCGCCGAAGTCGACGAACTTGATAGTCACTTGGTCGTTGTCGAGCCGGGTCTCCACGCGCGCCCTGCCGGCGGTGGGGGGTCAGACGTGGAAACAGAGCCGCGGCACGCCGCTCCGGCCCCGCGACACACCAGCGACGAAGCGCACCCCTCGCGCCGCCGCCGCTCCTTAGGCTCCGCTTAAGCCGGCCGCAGGCTGCAGCGATTGCAGTGACGATTTTGATAGCGCGGCGCGTGCCATTTGACAAGCGGCTCTTCGTGCTCAGGAACTGGTATTTACCGGCCCCATGTGGGTGTAAGGCGCTTTCTTACAGGAGCTGGTACGCAATATCTGCGTAACGCCAGACAGACAACGCACGAAATATCCACCAATACTGACAACCCAGCTTTGCCCCTGTGGCGCCAGCACTAATTCAGCATCGGCAGAAGAACCGGCATGATCTAGCTTACACCACAACAGTGGAGGCTTTCGATGCATCGGAGAAGCAACTGGTTTCCATTAGTTTTGTTTTTTACCTATTTTTACCAGTTTAAACAGGTTCAAAGTGGTGCAAGCTTAGAAAACCACATCACTCCACATTTTATCGATTTTGTTGTCATGTCCTAGTCGCGTCGTTACCCGGGCGCTCAGCAAGACCAGCAACAACACTAATAATGCAACAGCATGATCACAATATACGGCATATGCGCTACGACTGGCAAATAAATTAGTGTCTGAACCTGCGCCCTACAACCTCTGGCCATGGGTTGTGATCAGAAGCTTGTCCTTTTACAATCCATTGTAATATGTGACCACGCAGAAGTATGGATCAACCACCCAGCGGTTAGTGACCATCTTAATATTACACCTATAAGCTTGCTGGATATGGGCACAATCAAATGTGCATCAAATCAACAGGTAGCAATTGGTAAGTGAAATTGTGCACACAGTTTGCAACTCACGCCATACTGTGTGCACACAGCACGCAGTATGGCATGAATTATTACTACAAATTGGTGCTACATAATGGGTACTGCATTGCCAGCTGCGGCCACAGCAGCACCCAAGCCCTGCATCTCCGCCGCGTTGTTTGTGAAGACCGTTTGACATTTGGATCTGTTCTGACGTCAAAACCAGGGACGCAACCATTAACAAGTCAGCTGGCTGTGGCCTTAGTGAGCGGTTGTGTGGATTCGTTGGAAACTGAATGTCATGAGAGTGACCAGATCATGCGTGCATAAAATGGCAACGGTTGGTATCGATCTGCTTGGCACGATATTACCTCAATGTGACAAGAAACCACGCCACAACCGAAAATTTCAACGTAGACTGAATTGTTCAGATAATTCCCCAATATTAAACTCGAACGGAATTTCATAACAAGAACGTCATAACAGACCAATGATAAAACGAGGACGACATCCCTCAAAATAATACCTAATAAACTCAGAACATGCCTGGCAGAACAACAGAACAAGAGCACGCAAAAAGGCTTGTCACTACAGGACAAAATACGAATAGTAGCCAGGCACCGCAGCACCAGGTCGTGCTTGCCGGGCCTCGTCAGGACACCAAACAAGTCTGCCAAAGTCAGCGGCGGGCAACCAGCCATCTGACACGGCACCGCTTACCACCGCCCCCGGCCTGACGGGTCACGCTCCATCCCTCGGCACATCTCGAGACCCGCCCCCGGCAGCCAGCCATCCAACGCGGCACCACCTACCACTGCCCCCGGCCTGACGGGTCGCGCTCCACCCATCGGCACATCTCGAGACCCGCCCCGGCAGCCAGCCATCTGACGCGGCACCGCCTACCACTGCCCCCGGTCACGCTCCATCCATCGGCACACCCGCCACCGGCAGCCAGCCATCTGACGCGGCACCGCCTACCACTGCCCCCGGTCACGCTCCATCCATCGGCACACCCGCCACCGGCAGCCAGCCATCTGACGCGGCACCGCCTACCACTGCCCCCGGTCACGCTCCATCCATCGGCACACCCGCCACCGGCAGCCAGCCATCTGACGCGGCACCGCCTACCACTGCCCCCGGGCCACGCTCCACCCATCGGCACATCTCGAGACCCGCCCCGGCAGCCAGCCATCTGACGCGGCACCGCCTACTACTGCCCCCGGTCACGCTCCATCCATCGGCACACCCGCCACCGGCAGCCAGCCATCTGACGCGGCACCGCCTACCACTGCCCCCGGTCACGCTCCATCCATCGGCACACCCGCCACCGGCAGCCAGCCATCTGACGCGGCACCGCCTACCACTGCCCCCGGTCACGCTCCATCCATCGGCACACCCGCCACCGGCAGCCAGCCATCTGACGCGGCACCACCTACCACTGCCCCCGGCCTGACGGGTAGCGCTCCACCCATCGGCACATCTCGAGACCCGCCACCGGCAGCCAGCCATCCAACACGACACCGCCTACCACTGCCCCCGGGCCACGCTCCACCCATCGGCACATCTCGAGACCCACCACCGGCAGCCAGCCATCTGACGCGGCACCGCCTACCACTGCCCCCGGGCCACGCTCCATCCATCGGCACATCTCGAGACCCGCCACCGGCAGCCAGCCATCTGACGCGGCACCGCCTACCACTGCCCCCGGTTACGCTCTATCCATCCGCACACCCGCCACCGGCAGCCAGCCATCCAACACGGCACCGCCTACCACTGCCCCCGGTCACGCTCCATCCATCGGCACATCTCGAGACCCGCCCCCGGCAGCCAGCCATCCAACGCGGCACCGCCTACCATCCCCCCCGGCCTGACGAGTCACGCTCCACCCATCGGCACACCTCGAGACCCGCTCCCGGCAGCCAGCCACCGCGGCAGGACGCCGCAAGCCCGCTCCGTGTGCGCCCCAGCGCTGGAGCCCAGCTCCGGCCCGACGTCGCTACAGCTGAGAATGTGTTTACTAGGGCCGGCCACGGCAGAGCGCACGGACGGCGAGCGACCTTTGCGGCCGACTGTTGTGGCGTCAGCGGTGTCGGGTGTGGCCTTTACCGGCCATGGTTCCGGCTGGTCAGCCGCCCGCGATCGTCGACCGACGCTGACGGACGGTAGATCAGCCACCACAAAATTGCCTACGCTGGCGGGCTTTTGTGCCTAGGCGTTGCCAGAAGCCACCGCATAGGCAGCAAATCGAGCCTATTTAGACTGCGGAGGCACCCACGTCCCCGCAGCATCGCGCAATCAGCAGCAGCGACCCCCTGAGCTATCACCATCAATGTGCGGTTTTCCGAGTCGCCGTAATCGAGTCGCCGTCGAGCCAAATCACATGAGGCCGGCGCCGACCGTCGCATCTAAAGTGCCGAGCCATGTCGCTCGTGATCCGAGTCGCCGGGCTCGAGCGCCGCCCTCCCGAGTGCTCGCCGCTGATTGGCGCCTGGCCCGGGCCCGCTCCCCCGAGCCGCCAGCCACCACACACCTGTACCACAGCCGCTGACTGAAGCCCAGCCCGGGCCCGCTCCCCCGAGCCGCCGGCCACCACACACCTGTACCACAGCCGCTGACTGGCGCCTGGCCCGGGCCCGCTCCCCCGAGCCGCCGGCCACCTCACACCTGTACCACAGCCGCTGACTGGCGCCTGGCCCGGGCCCGCTCCCCCGAGCCGCCGGCCACCTCACACCTGTACCACAGCCGCTGACTGGCGCCTGGCCCGGGCCCGCTCCCCCGAGCCGCCGGCCACCACACACCTGTACCACAGCCGCTGACTGGCGCCTGGCCCTGGCCCGCTCCCCCGAGCCGCCGGCCACCTCACACCTGTACCACAGCCGCTGACTGGCGCCTGGCCCTGGCCCGCTCCCCCGAGCCGCCGGCCACCTCACACCTGTACCACAGCCGCTGACTGGCGCCTGGCCCTGGCCCGCTCCCCCGAGCCGCCGGCCACCTCACACCTGTACCACAACCGCTGACTGGCGCCTGGCCCGGGCCGTTCCCCCGAGCCGCCGGCCACCACACACCTGTACCACAGCCGCTGACTGGCGCCTGGCCCGGGCCGTTCCCCCGAGCCACCGGCCACCACACACCTGTACCACAACCGCTGACTGAAGCCCAGCCCGGGCCGTTCCCCCCAGCCACCGGCCACCACACACCTGTACCACAGCCGCTGACTGAAGCCCAGCCCGGGCCGTTCCCCCGAGCCACCGGCCACCTCACACCTGTACCACAGCCGCTGACTGGCGCCTGGCCCTGGCCCGCTCCCCCGAGCCACCGGCCACCACACACCTGTACCACAGCCGCTGACTGAAGCCCAGCCCGGGCCGTTCCCCCGAGCCGCCGGCCACCACACACCTGTACCACAGCCGCTGACTGGCGCCTGGCCCGGACCCGTTCCCCCGAGCCGCCGGCCACCTCACACCTGGACCACAGCCGCTGACTGAAGCCCAGCCCGGGCCGTTCCCCCGAGCCACCGGCCACCTCACACCTGTACCACAGCCGCTGACTGGCGCCTGGCCCTGGCCCGCTCCCCCGAGCCACCGGCCACCACACACCTGTACCACAGCCGCTGACTGAAGCCCAGCCCGGGCCGTTCCCCCGAGCCGCCGGCCACCACACACCTGTACCACAGCCGCTGACTGGCGCCTGGCCCGGACCCGTTCCCCCGAGCCGCCGGCCACCACACACCTGTACCACAGCCGCTGACTGGCGCCTGGCCCGGGCCCGCTCCCCTGAGCCACCGGCCACCACACACCTGTACCACAGCTCGTCCTCCGGGTTTTTGACGGCGCAGAACTGGCCGCCGGCCACGGCGTCCGGCCGCAGCGGCTGCACGTTCGCCGGCTGGCTGTAGTGCTCCTGCATGGCGTGCATGAGGGCACGCAGCTTGCCGCCCTCCAGGTAAGGCTGAACCTGCGGGCCGACGACGGCCGGTCAGCGGCCGCCGCCGCGCGACGGCCGACGCACCAGCTAGCTCCGTGTGCCGACTGCGGCAACGGCACACACAACGGGCAACAAGCTTGGTGTACCTCTGGAGCACACACTAGCAGCCGTACCCTATTATTCGCACCCAACATGCGATACGTGGAACACGTCAACGGTATGCAGGAGACATTTTAGTAGTTGTAGCCTGACATTTAGGATGAGGTTTTACGCTGCAGCGGAAAGCCACGTAGACATTTCAACGTTCGTGGGCGAAACACACCTTACATAACCAACGACCACAGCAGGGCGAGCCTTCCAGGACGAGCTTTCCACAGTCCCGGCAAGCATACAACAAGAAACTGCGCACTGCGCGCAATCCGCCCGTCCGGCACACGCACCCCAGCGCCGTCCGGGCACCCACGTATATGTTCCAGGGACTGGAGCAGAAGGAGACGGTGACGTCGAGGTAGCCGTCACCGTCGCGCTGTACGCGGTATTGCTCGACGGGCTGCAGCTGAAGCCGGCCGAGCGCGGCGTCGGCCGCGGGTTGGGCGTCGGGCGGCGGCCGGGGCGAGGCCAGCCGCAGCAGCTGCTCCGTGGGGCTGGGGGAGCCGCGCGCAGGAGCCGCCGCCGCCGGCAGCGAGGCCGTCGAGGACTGGCGAGAGACGGACGGCGCCGCCGCCGCCGCCGAAGCCGTGGAAGACTGTCGGGAGACGCGGTCCGCCCGGCTGTGGGAGGGCACCGGCCGGGACCGCTGAGGTCGACACGAGGAGTGCGTGCGAAAGAAGGTGGCGGGGGCTACACGTCCAATTGTGAAACAATCGGCCTGGCGGACTTAAAGCCCCTTCCGCCGCATTCTATACACGGCCATCTGACAGTTTACCCCCTCCACCCGTCACTACGCAAGCCTGACGCCACTGGCAGAGTGGTTTGCCGCATTCTATAGACGGCCATCTGTCAGTTTACCCCTCCAGCCGTCACTACGCAAGCCTGACGACGTCATTTGCAGAGGGGTTTTCGACTCGACAGCTGAACGGTAGTGGAGCGTTGCTGCGCTGGCTCCGAGCCAGGCCTCCCGGCACCAAGTCCAACGCAGCTCCACCAAAGGGCCGCCTGACGTAATCGCTGTGTGGCATAAGTCTGACACCACGCCAGCCTGGCGCACCAGGGGGAGCGCCGAGGGGCGGGCAGAGCGGGCGGCCCCGCCCACGCACCCAAACCGGCAGTGTGCTGGCGGCGCCAGGCAGGGCGCCGCATCAGAGGAGGCGCCGCGCCACCGGCCGGGGCCAGCGAGCCTCACCTGGACATGTGCGCCTCGACGGCGAGCGTGGCGTTGATGGAGACCAGCTCGTTGTTCTCCAGCCTCTTATACGCCTCAACCTCGGGGACGCCGGCGGCCGGATTGGAGGTCACGCGGAGCACCACCCGTGTGCCGTCCCTCGGCACCTGGCACAGCACACACCGACGTCAGGTCACACGGCACGCCGCCCATTAACGTGGGGCCACTGTACGCTGCCGCGACACGCCTGTGACACTGCCTGTGTGCTTGATGTAACGTCATACAGGTACGCTCATGTACATCGACGGCTGGGTTCACTAGTCGCTGTTTTCCGCTGATGATTGACAGCACAAATATGCCCGCCAGCAAAAACAAACAAACCCTCACCTCAAGGTCGGACCATTGCCCATTGTGCTGTGAAGTGCAACTACACACATGGCCGTTATTGGACACTGGACCGTCGTTTCCACGCACTTCTCTTACTGCTACCAAAAGGCCACAGGCGATGTGACGCCACTGCACTGATGAAGGGACGCCACTGCACAGCCTCATACAGCGCACTCCGCGGCTGGAGGCTCGCTCCTGCACGAAGCACTGACACGCTGTCCGCGGGACGGCCCACGTCGCCTCTTTCACCGCTGCAGCACACCGTACCAGCGGCGGGCGGCGCCGCACCACACCGCACCAGCGGCGGGCGGCACCGCACCACACCGCACCAGCGGCGGGCGGCGCCGCACCACACCGTACCAGCCGCCGGCGGCGCCGCACCACACCGCACCAGCGGCGGGCGGCACCGCACCACACCGCACCAGCGGCGGGCGGCACCGCACCACACCGCAACCAACGGCGGGCGGCGCCGCACCACACCCGTACCAGCCGCCGGCGGCGCCGCACCACACCGCACCAGCGGCGGGCGGCACCGCACCACACCGCACCAGCGGCGGGCGGCGCCGCACCACACCGTACCAGCCGCCGGCGGCGCCGCACCACACCGCACCAGCCGCCGGCGGCGCCGTACCATCTCCGTGAGCCGGAGCGCAGCACCGTCGGTCATCTGGACGCCGCTCAGCCGGACGGTCAGCGCCTGGGCCGGGTGTCGCAGCGTGGCCGGCAGCGCGCGCAGCTCCGAGAGCGGCACCACCGACGTGTTGCCGTAGTCCACGAACAGGACAGACGCCTGAGGCGGGCACCGCCGTCAGGGGGCCGTGCCACGGTACGTGAGACGAGGTGCGGTAGCCCGTCGGCCAGACCGGCACGCGTGGCGGTTAGGGACTCACAAAGAGGCACGGGGGGGGGGGACGAGGCACTCCTCTGTGGCGATGAAGGGCCGCCATGCAATGTTGGTCTAACACAAAGGTGGTAACTGCTACGGAATCAATGCAGCGCCGGTACCGCCATATCGCTCCGATACCCTGTACCTCTCACCACCTCCCACAGGGGCGACGGCCGGCCCTCCCGTGACCCCCCGGGACGGCGCTGCTCCCCTCTCCCCTCACCCCGGAAGTCTGAGCCCACCCCGCGTCCGTCTCACCGTGTCCTGCTGGGGCGGCGCCTGCACGCACGCCCGGTACCAGCTGCCGTCCGAGTAGCGGGCCAGCAGCAGCGTGCCGGGCGCCGCCGGGACGGGCGCCGCCGGCGCCGCGGACGCCGCCTCGCCGGCCGCCGCCACGCGCTCGCACACCTCGTGCGCGTCGGCCGTGTCCAGCTGCACGAACACGTCCCCCGTCTGGGCCGACACGTGCACCACGAACGCGTCCACGATGCCGCCCGCCTGCCGGCCGAGCCAGGCGCAGGGTCGGCAGCCGGCCAGGGCTGGTGGTGGTCACCGAGGCCGGTGGTGACCGGCGGCGGTACGGACGGCGGAGCACCCGGCCCGAACCACCGCACGTCTCGGAAACAGCGCAACACCTCGACCAACAGCAGGAAACCACATACAAGGCCCGTGCTGATGCACACGCTATCTCTGATGAATGATACACACCAAGCCCGTCAGGTCCCGAGCAGCGGCCTGAGCGCCCCGGGCCGGGCGCAGCCCGCCGGCCGCCGCTCCCTCACCGGCGGCAGCGAGGGCGGCGTGTCCGCCTCGGCCAGCTCGCGCAGCGTGCTGTTAATATTGATGTCGTCATCGCCGGATGTGTCGAACAGCACCACCTCCAGGCGGCTGTCGTCGGCCTCCACCACCTGGCGGTGGGCATGGCGTCAGTCTCGCCCCGCCAGCGGTGCTGCACGCCCACGCGCGCGCGCGCGCGCGCGCGCACGCACGCACGCACGCACGCACGCGCGCACGCACGCACGCACGCGCGCACGCACGCACGCACACGCGCGCGCGCATGCGCACGCACGCACGCACGCACACACGCGCGCGCATGCGCACGCACGCACGCCCACCCGCCCACACACACACACACGCACACACGCAGGCACACACCCCACCGGTCGGTGCCCAAAGTAGGACGTCAGATGGCCTGAACTGACGTAGCGGGAACGAGAACAGTTGCCTTTTTGATACAGAGGAAACGACCGGCGTATTGTAAATACGCCGGCAATGCAGCTCCTGATCCTTTACGCTGGTTAATGATGGAAGACAACACGGAGAATGAGGAGCAAGACAACGCAAAAAGGCTGTCGTCGAATCGCTGTCCCGCTCAATCTACACACCTCCGCAGCTGACACCGACCGCTTGCTGTCAATGGACGTGTGGCGCTAATTCAAATCTGTTTAGACTTTCTGATTTGACGGCCAGGTAGTAGGCACGAGAATGCTGGGTTCTTCAGTTATGATAATTGCTGGAGCATCATAGCGCGCTCCTGGTTGGAAGCATTGCTTGAAAGTGTCGAGCTCGGTGCGACGTTCGGCGGAGTCCGTGCGTGGCTCCTACCATCGCGACGCACGCGGTAGGCTCACCGAATATTCTGCCATCGATAGACAGTACAACCGACCGGCGAGAATACCAGGATGTGCGGATAGCAGACACCACCACACCACATCACACACATACGCCACACACCACACACACACGGTGGCAGACTCTACCGTCAGCATCCCCTCTTCAGCCACGCAAGCACGCACGCACGCACGCACGCACGCACGCACGCACGCACGCACGCACGCACGCACGCACGCACGCACGCATGCAGGCACGCCCCGGCGTCGCAGGACCCACCTGGCACATGAGGCTCTTGCGAAGCGCGAGCCGGCTGAGGGCGTCGCGCGCGCCCGGCCGGTCGCCGTCCACGCCACTCAGCGTCGCGTGCAGGGCCTGCCCGGGCAGCTGGCCGAACCGGGCCGCGTCCAACGGACTCAGGCTGCGCGCCGACACCAGCTCCGTGTCGCCGATGTCGACGAAGAACGCCGACACCATGTCGTCCAGGATATCGGTCACCTGGACCCGGTGCGGCGTACCGTCCACCTGCCGGTCGGGGAGGGGAGAGGGGTGAGGGGAGGAGGGAGGCGGAGCGGCAGAGAGCTGGCAGCATCACAGACTCGTCCGAGCAGGCTGACACGAGGCGTTTCGAGCGCGGGTCCTCGCGCCCGTCGGTACACGGCGCGGTATGAAGAGCTCTGTTGTGAGACAAGGCAAGTGATAGCCTATACCCGTGTTGCGTACTCTTAGCATAAATAGTAAACTTGAGTAGCGTCGAGATTGAAGGCTTCGCCAAGCGCAGCCTGCGTGATTTCCAGGCAGAGACAATTTTACCTCAGCCTGTCAGTACCGAGATATTTACGGAATTCGCCATAGCCTGAAAAAGAAACGGGATATTTACGTGCCTTGCACACCAGTAATCTCTACCACGCGTGGTTAACTTTTCACCTTCCCTGTCCGGAAAAATTTGGGGCGTATGTGGGAAACGAACACATGTACTGATGAGCTCCGAACCCAGCACTGGCCGCTTGCTTTGAGACCGGACCGGCGCGTTTGCCCTTACACCACGGGGCAGTCACAGTCAACTGCCTTCTGAAGTTCCACACGGAACCCCGCGCCACGCCTCTCACCACAGCAGACTTGTTGGAGCGCATGCAGCCTCAGTGACACATCCCAATGTTGTCGCTTGAAACCCAAGCCTGCCACGGCTCACTGTGCCGCAGATGGCAGCCCCCCCCCCCCCCAACCACCGATCATCCCCCCTCCCTCCCTCCGTCGGCCACCGTCCCCAGTCGCAGCAGCGCCGCTACCACCCACCTGAGCCAGGTAGAAGCCGCCGATAATGGGGCTGACTGGCTGCCGGTTGTCCAGCAGGCTGACTTCTATCTCCGACAGCAGGTCCTCCAGGCGGTCCTGTGCAGGGAAGGCGGAGTCGGCCGTCACAGTACTATCACATCACATCATAGCCTAACACGGTCAGGGGTCCGGCCACCGCAGCCGTCACGTGCCGCCAACGCCGCTCATCCCACCACCTGTGCGCCAGTCGTTATGTTGGTGCACGCCGGCGTCGGCGGTGTGTCAGTGGCCACGGCACGCACGGGCAGGACCAGAAGCTGCCCGGCCTGCCTGTGTGAGTCGGTCACTCACGATCAGGCATAAGGGTGTACTCACGCGACATCCCGCACTAGGGGCTGAGTGTAATATTGCCCGCAATGACAACAACTTCGTAATAATGCGAACAATTGGCAGCAGATTATTATGAAAATAAACCTATCGCAAACACACAAAACCACGGTGGGAAATACCACAACACAAACGCCATCCAAACAGTGTGGTCCCCATTCAGTGCTGAATCCACCAGCCGGAGAGCCCACGCACGCGGTTTCCACCGTTTCGATTGCGCGCATACACCCGAGACTGATCGGTCCCATGGCACACGCCCCACATCCCGGCCGGACTGGTGGAGTGCCCGCCGCCCCTGCCGGACCGGTGGAGTGCCCGCCGCCCCTGCCGGACTGGTGGAGTGCCCGCCGCCCCTGCCGGACCGGTGGAGTGCCCGCCGCCCCTGCCGGACCGGTGGAGTGCCTGCCGCCCGGCTGGACCGGAGGAGTGCCCGTCGCCCCGGCTGGACCGGAGGAGTGCCCGTCGCCCCGGCTGGACCGGAGGAGTGCCGCCGCCCCGGCCCGAAATGCCTGCCACCCCTGGTCGGACCAGTAGAGAGCCCGCCGCCCCAGTCGGAGCGGTGCGCACCTGCTGCTCGCCGATGATCCGGAACGCCAGCTGCGAGCCGCTGAGCACCCAGGTGACGGTGACGGCGAACATGTCTTCCTCGGGCAGCGCCACCGTCTCCAGCCGGGTCAGACAGTCGGCCCGGTCGGCCGGCGACGGCGGCGCCGCCTCGGTGGCGGCGCCGATCCCGGCCGCGTCCCCGCCGCCCACGCCCGCCGTCTGTCGCACACGCGGGACGGCGGTGACGGCGGCGCCGCCGGGCAGACCGGCACAGACGCGCCACCGGTGCGTCACGTGAAAAATAACACCAATTGTCTGATATACTGCTGACGCAACCAGCAACCACGTAGTCTGGACAAAATGACATTCATCTACGTCTAAACCAAACCGCGCCACGCACTAGACCACCACACCAGGCCACAACAACAAAATCATGTCACGCAGTCGGTGGCTAAAGCCCCAAACCGGCTTCTCGGCCTATCACGAACACGCCGGCTCGCGTTTCCCGAACAAAACACATTTGGCGCCGCAGTCCGCCGTCGTCGGAGGGCGGCGGTGTGACCCGCCGGTGACCCGACCTGACCTGACCTGACCCGGGCCGGCCCCGCGGCGCCGGCTCACCTGGCTGGCCGAGTACAGGATGTAGCGGTCGGCGCCCACGCAGTCGAACCGCACGGCGCCCGACGTGTACAGCAGGTCCTCCCAGTTGTCGGGCACGCGCTCCTGGAACAGGCGCCGGTACTCGGCCGGCACGCTGTCCCGCCAGAGGCCGTACCGGCGCGTCTCCAGCAGCTGCCGGTGAGAGCGCCCGTCAGCCGGCGCCGGCGGCGGCGGCGGTGTGCCACTGTTTGGGCCATTGCCACCTGAGGGAGTTGACGAGGAGAGAGCGGGAATGGGTGCGAGAGCGCGGGGTATGGCGGATACCGTCCTGCCGGCTGTCCACCGTCCATGGCACGGCTACCACCGCCGAGCGACCGTTACTGCACGGCATCGGTGGCGTACTGGAGCGATCACTGAGCACTGTCAGAGATCCCCGGCAGGCGCCGTTGAACGGCTGCGGGCGAGTACGTGCGGATGCCGTGGCATGACTGGAGTCGGACCGGTGAGTGGCTCAGTGGCGGATCACAGCTGGCGACACGGCTGCACCGCCGTCATCGCCCCGAGGCCACAGTGGCGGATCACAGCTGGTGACACGGCTGCACCGCCGTCATCGCCCGAGGCCATAGTGGCGGATCACAGCAGGTGACACGGCTGCACCGCCGTCATCGCCCGACGCCGAAGTGGCGTGACAGACGCGATTTGGAACGCTTTCACCGGAAGCCGTCACAAAACACGGTCATGCCCGCTGCGTAGTACACTGCTACCACTACCCGAGCAATTGAGCCGGCTCGGTGCGCCGCCCCCACCTGCGTCATTCTGGTGATGATCAGCCGGCCGTCCTCAGTGACGGGCGACTCTCGGCTGCTGCTGTCCTGCCGCTGGCGCTGGCGCAGCGTCTCCAGCGCCATCTGGCACGCCATCGCCTCAGCCACGTCCTCGGAGGGGCTCTCGGAGGGGTACGTCTGGCAGCGCACGTCGCCCACCTGGCGCGATCCGAACGCGATCAGCCGGGGTGCTGGGCCGCCGCCGCTACGGGCGCGCACGCCGAGCGCCGCCGAGCCGGCCGGGCCGCTCAGGCTGTGGGACCGGACCCGCGGCGCACACACGTGCCGGGTAGACGGGCCACAAACGATGGATCCCCATATCGTACTACATTATGTCTGAGCAGCTCCGGGCCAGCAGCACCGGACTGACCGCCTGATTCGCTCCTGAAATAGTGAAGACCCGCGCCAGCTGCTCGCATCATACCCAAATGACACCCAACCCCGCTGAAATGGCCTCCAACGACGCTGAAATGGCAACCAACAAAGAACGCCGTCCCGTTCTCCACCTTCCCTTTTCCTCCAAAAGCCGCCTACCACAATGGTGGAGTAGAAGCTGGCGATGCCCCCGGCCGACTTGGGCTTGAACGACACCGTCTCCAGCTTGGCCTCGGGCAGCCGGTAATGTCGGATGTAGGCCTGCAGCTCCTGCTTGGGCGTCTGCGGCCTGCCGTTGCAACATGCACAGGCGTCAGCGGAATAAGCAGCCTCGACGTGAATCATTAACCCATTACGGCATCGCCTCATCATTTAAAAAGCGAGTGTTGAATATAACGAGCTTCAACATTCCGCCAGCCCATCTGGGCATTTTCAAGATTGACAGCAGAGACTTTCAATGACTACGAACATCGCCCCGTCACGACTGGGTCGTCCCTTGGGGCTGCAATGGTCAAGTCTGCAATCCATGCAGTACTGCACCCGGCCGCGTCAGGCTTTCTGACAGCATCAATAGACTCGCAGCAATGAACTAAGGGTTCCAGAAGGGGCTACGCCGAGTACACCGGGGTTCAGGAGAGGCTACCTGGGAGTAAGCCGGGGTTCAGGAGATGCTACCCGGGAGTAAGCCGGGGTTCAGGAGATGTTACCCGGGAGTAAGCCGGGGTTCAGGAGAGGCTACCCGGGAGCAAGCCGGGCTTCAAGAGAGGTTTCCCGGGAGTAAGCCGGGGTTCAGGAGGAGCTATCGGGAGTAAGCCGGGCTTCAGGAGCTATCGGGAGTAAGCCAGGCTTCAGGGGGGGCTACACGGAAGTAAGTGAGGTGTTCAGAAGAGCTACAAGGCAGTAGGCTGATCGATATAACCGGAGGGCTCCTCGGCAGTGACCGCGGGAAGGGGGAGGGGAGTTGTGCTCCAGTCAGAGCCCGTACCCTGCAGGGGCGGCCGGCGGCGCTGGCGGCGGCGGGCTCGGCTCGGCCGGCGGGCCCCACCACGACTGGGCGGCGGCGGTCGGCGCCTCCCGCGGCTGCGGCGGCGCCGGAGTCGGCGCCGGCGCCGGCGCTGACGTTGGCGTCGGCGTCCGTTTGGCCGGCTGCGGCGGCCGCTGCGGCTGCGTCTGAGGCTGTGTCGGCGCCTTAGGCTCCGGCTGTGGTCGTGAGCGTGGCTGCTGTGGCTGCGGCTGCGGCTGCGGCTTGGTCGTCGGCTGGGGCCTGGCCGACTGCGTCCGCGGCGGCTGGCCGGCCGGCCGGAATGCAGCCGGCTGGGCCCAGCGCGGGCCCGGCGTCGGCAGCAGGCCCTGGCGCGGCGCGCTGTTCGGACGCACGTTGTAGGCCCGCCGCGGCTGGAAGTCGAACCGTGGCGCCGAGAAGCCGTCGGTGCGCCGGACTGCGGCGCAGGGGCGGCCACGTCAGCGGGACAGAGGTCACCGACGCGGGGGACAACGGTCACCAGCATCACCAGGCCAGCTCCTGGCGACTCCATCCAGCGCGAGGCACAGTCCAGCAGTCTCCTAAGAAAATGAACCGGTAAAAGTACGCTCTCCGCGGCCGGCGGGTTCACCCCTGTGAAGAGTTTCAGAGTTAGCTGCGCCTTTGATTTTCAGACGACTAAATTTGCATGCCCCTGGAGCTGGATCATGCAACAATCTGTGTACGACAGCGCGCTTTTGCTGGTCTTCATGGACCACACAGCAATGGACGTTCTCACGAGCCTCCATCCTCAAAACTGCGATCTGCCGAACAAGAGAACTGGACCACCATACGCACCACGCACACAAACGCACGCATTTACCTATCCTCTCGTTTTCTCCCCGGTAATAGCGTCCAGTGGGCCGCAGTTCGGCGCTTCAACGCAGCACCTACCGTCACTTACCGGCACCATAGCTGGGGCGCGGCACGTACGCGACGGGCCTGCGCGGCGGCGCCTTCTTCTTGGTCGGCTTCTGGCGCTGCACTAGCGACGCTATGCCGGCCGTGCTGGCGTCGGCGACGAAGTGCACCAGCGGCTCGGGACCGGACTCGTTCAGCTGTCGCGCAAGGGTGGCGCCCATGAGACACGGTTACGCCACCGGAGGAGGCTCGTTCGGACACGGCCGGCAGCCGACACGCGGCTGGTCTTCACTGATGAGGAGTGCAGGGCAACACAGGCCGCCCGCGCCGTCGGTTCATGACGCTCGCGTTTGGTGATTCGGATAGCGCTGATGACGTACGTATGAACAGAAGTCAGTCGAGCCCGTCAGTCAGAAGGTGACTTTTTTTTACAAAACTCCAAAAGGGGCAACGCAGTCACTGCCATGAGTACCATGGGGGCAGACAGTGATGACAAACAGACTACAAAACACGACGGGGATTATCTATCCTGAAAGCAGTTCAAGCATCTCACCCTCACGACATCCGGGATGGAGCGTAGATAATCTTCCAGACTTCGGAAGCCATTGTCCCTGAAGGGTATAGCGTACCCCACCAGTGTTTGGAAGTCCCCTGAAACAAAGCAATTCAACAGGTTTAGTTCAGACTACGAAGGTAATTTCCTGAATTACAGCTGGCAGGGTGATAAACGCATACATGCATGCACACAATCCCATATATGGAACCAATGTGCAGCATGGATAGCCATTTAGGTAGCGTGGATGACTATTTTACCAGCACAATCTAGTTACTGTATAGTTCCAACCTGAAAGGCATAACCAAACAGAAACGTGCGAACAGTAAATGATCAGATACCACTATTTCATACTATAGAACATGATAAAAAGCATTCGTCAAAGAGTGAGATTAAAGCCTTGGCAACCGTGCCATTGTTTGTTGTTGTTGTTGTTTTGTTGTTGTTTTTTGTAAAGCCAAGCGACCTAAATCCTGACCATGTAACCTGTTGGCACGGAACATTTAGGCCTTCCTGAGCGCTCCAGATAGTTTCTTTCGGTCGGAAGGACCCAAACACGAACAGTCAACGGGCGAATGGAAATATACCAAAGGTGAGTAATCAAAGGCCAAGTAATAATGATAAATGTTAAAAGGGGCATGTCCAAATGTAATACAACCGAAGGACACACTATTCATGACATACATATGGCATGACACATTTTTCCATTTTCTCGATTGTAATTTGGTCTGTGTGTCCCAGTTCCTTTCACTGACTGTTTGGTGAGACATTGTGCCTCCCCCGGCAAACTCGGACCTCAATCAACAGGAAGATTGCTCAAGAGACGCGTTACGGACAGCGACATCAGCAGGAGACTGCAAGACGGCGTATGTCACCATAACATGGGGTGACTCACAACGGCAGAAGCACATTCCCCAAATATTCATGTCCCAGCACAGTTCAGAACACATTTGATAATATTTTATGCAATCAGGTAAAGGCGACGAGTGATATCTATGATGTCTTGCAATGAACCCTACCTAAAAATATTGAAGACGACATTTTGCAATGCACCATTTATGTCAATGGCAACGCTTGATAACGTGCGATTAACAGTTATCATAAATAATTGCCAATATAGTATGTATTGATGTTTTCATACTCAACCTACATTTTGCACGTGGTTTATTACAGCGTGTTACGATCAATGATGTGAACCAATTAAGAAGTCCCATCATTTCACTGAACATTTTTACAAAGTTATCAGATACTTAGACAACCCGCTTAACACAACAGCAGCGTAGCATCACTTTCATAGTTCCAGTGTCTACGCAGAGAACAAGACAAGGATCCACAATTATGGCACATTAGTATGTAAGTGTACAAAATGTATCGTACAAAATGTATCGTATGTACAAAATGTACCGTATGTACAAAATGTATCGTATCAATTAAACACGAGCACCACGTTGATTAAAGCAAAGCGTGGAACCTTTCAGAAGCATACTAGACAGCAGTCTACATCTGAGCAAAGCCAGTCAACTTACTTTTCAGTTCACGGAGGGAAAGGCTTCCTTTGGTGGAAATAAGGCATGAGCGAATCAGTTTTTTCGTTTCCTCGTCTGCCATTTTTAGAATGGATTACACGAAATAATCACTGCAAAGGGCACAGAGAGTTAGTCAATTGCTCATAACACATCACAAGCCAAACTCAAATGGCAACAGTCATTAGCTTCAAATGCACGAATTATTTGCGGTATGCCATGGCGGACCCAGCCAACGAGACCGGGAAGGAAGCCATTTGGAATGCCGATGACGGCGGGAAGGGCGACATGTGAAAAGCCGGCGAGGCCGGGAATGGAGCCGTATGAAAAGCTTTTGAGGATGGGGAGCGAGACAGGGAGACGTGTGAAAGGCCAATGAGGCCGGGAAGGCAGACAAATGGAAAGCCGGGACACCACAGCCAGCACGGCACCATCCGAAGCCAACGGCTTCTAGGTTTGGAACTGCGTGACTGAAGCCGAAACAAGCGGCTTCACATTTATAAAACACGAAGCCAAATCCCAGGCAAACGTCTTTTACCTTTGTAATACGAACCCGAGGCCAGCGGCTTTGGATTCAAGAAACCCGACAGCAGCAGCCAAACAAATAATTTCAAAAGCACGAGGTCGGCGCGCAAGCCCGCTTGTGGACAACGTTGTTTTCCAGAACCATAACAACATTCGCACCTGGTGGAGTTGTGTGTGAACAGAAATAAAACGGTTTAGGGAAGTCAATCAGACAAGCTGTTAGTACTACACCTAGAACATTGTCGGACTACCGCGCTTGCACGTGTCAGTTTGAACAAAAGTTTCGGGCAGCTTCGGACGACTAGTGGCCGAAACTTCGGCTCCGGACCCCGGCCACCGTCAGGTGATAAATGGTCTTGAGGATAAGAAGCTGGTACTGGCCTTTTAGCAATACAACTGGGGTGGCAATACCGGCAAGACTGCTTTAGTGAAGTCAAGCCACTCCTGCAGTGTGACGGTACGGCAGACCATGACTATGTCGCGGCCAGCAGCTCTGGATCGCACGGAGCCGAGGACACAGCCATAGCTCCAAACTCGTCTGAAGCCGAAGTTAAGTCAAAGCTAGCTGCAAACACGCGCCCAGGTGGCCGGCTGAATGCAACACACTGGGGTGGGGGTGGGAGGCTATTTCCCCCACCTTTCTGACATCGCCAAAACTAAGAAAGTTAGAGACATGAAATGCACAGCAAGGTAGGGCTCTATGTGAATTAACCTGTCAAATTTTGAGATCCCTAAGTCATGATCAAATAAGGTTGAACAGGGTCAAAGCACAACTTTGTGTCCTTAGTGCCCTGAGGTCTTGTCATGCAACCAGCTTTCACCTAGATAACTTTTACAAGCAACAGGTTGCTGGTGTTTATATCAGTTCAATGACCTTATTTGAAAGTCTCCCCCAGAAAAGTTTATACAAGTTATTCACGTGACTGGCCTCACCAACATCATTAAGCCAAAATAAGGAATCTTTTGGCATCATTGTGCTCCAGGAATGCAAGATACACATATGCTCATAACACAAGTTTTCCAGCAAAAAAGTGGTTTGGTTCAAACCTTGATCTGAGCTGCATGCTTGACCCAAAGTCAGCAGAATAAGTCTTGCTACTAATATCAGTCACTCAATTGCCTGAGCAGTCATCTCAAAGTTATGTAATTTTATGAAGAACAAGTATCTATGCGTTATCTTCACTGACAGCCATGGTGTGACTTTGACCTTCAATGGGTATGTCAAATTTTGTATGCAAAAGGGTTACCTGTTAAACCATATACTCAAACAAGGTTTGTTGCAGGTACACAGCACCATCTAGAAATTATCTGGAAATACTGTTGGAAGTCTTATCAACCACCACCTCACTGGAACAAGTGTTAAAAGTGGTGCAAAGGCAAAGCTGGAGCCAACCATTAAATTAACATTACATAAAATCTGAGGCCATCAATGAAACATGGCTTACAGCAGAAGGCAAATATGAGGCCATGGAAAAAATGCTGCTTAGCAAAACTGGAGCTGGTCTTGTGTTCTCATGACTGCAAAGGAACACAAGACCCCACACAGATACAAGTTGATGCAATTTGCAGTGTGCAGAGAAGGTCAAATGTATGAGGCCGTGCTGCATTATTCTTCCGGAATGGCAGGAAACAGAAGAACAAAATTAGGTGGTGGTTTGGGCCATGACATAGTGTGCAAAACCAAATTTACATGGTAACATATCTTTCCACTCTCTTGTCACCTCAAGCTGAGCAAGTGACAAGTGGCATTGTTTCACGCTGTTATGCATTAGTGACTTGGCCTTGTGTTTGAACCCTTTGCTTGGAACTGTCTTTTTAGGCTGGCTGTTATGGGGTGTCCAAACATAAAACAATGGATGGAAGTGTGTTATGGTCATTAACCAAGATGTTACAAAGGAAAAGAAGGTTTTGGATGAAGCAGCATTATACCCAGGTATGGTTGGAAATAATATCAGCATTCAATGAAATAATGCAAGATCTTCAAGCAAGATAGTGCTGGCTTCCATGCTCATTTTTGTACCCCTAGCTCTGTATGGGACAAACATATGTCACCTTATATGCATGTCATATTTAACACAGTTACCAGGTGAATAGGGCTTTCCCAGCTTTTCCAGTGTAACAGTGTAACCAAGTGGAGGGGATTGGAAAATGGCATAAGATACACACAGTGTGATTTATAGCTGGTTCATTAGGGGTTGGTGCCAGCCTACCAGTTATAAGGCATACATGTCAGGAGTTACCATTTGGTCCATTGCCATTATATTGAACAGATAAGACCAGGTCTGCTATCCAAAGGCAAAACCCCATATGTTTACTTCTGGACATTACACCCTTTTATGTCATCTGATTCATCTACTCATGCTGAAGTTAGAAATTCAAACCATTAGTTTAGATTGTCAGAACTGCTTAACTAGCAGAATGGGCTTAAAGCTTTTGAAATGTTCAAATGAATGTTTAAATAACTGAATTCAGCATGATAATCAGGATCAGATGGCATAAGCAATACAAACTGGCCAAAAATTAATATATGGGGTTTTATCTTTGGATTATAGGGTAATGTTAGCTCAGGGAAGGTTATCACTTTTCACTTGTTGTACTTTACAGCCTTGCTAGCCTCTGACCAGCCTGAAATAATCTGGTATGTCACACTCATTCAGAGTTGTAGTTCCAGAACATGACTTGGTGCCCAAACAAATAAAATCACAAACTTAACTCTAAAACATACTGTCAAACACACATCTATTAGATTCAACCTGCCTTCACCTCAATGCTGGGGGACTGAACATACCAAACAGTTGCTGAAAAGGGAACTAAATAAGGAACTTCATACCTGTACCCATATGTCATACATGAACACATGCACCACATGCTCCAAAGGCCTATGACTCGAGCAAACGGCACTTGCCTTGTTTTGGTAAAGATACCCATGGACATAGCCAGCTTGTACCTAATTTTCAAAATCAAAGACCGCTTACCACTGTCTTGGTACCCGTGTTCACTTTCACAGGCCACGGGCCAGCCTCGCCCACTCTCGGACGGTGTATGGACGTGGCTGACGCACGCAGAACAGGTAGACGCAGCATTTGCAGGGTACCCGTATATTATCTAAATACTTACCGAACTAATTTTGTAAGTTCAAAAGATAGGGGACAGAATGATACCAGTATGGACCATCCCTTGACCCGCCCCTTTTTCTGTGCCAAATCAGCGTCCCAGCCACCCATACGCAGATGCGAACCACGTCATGTCCCTTGAGCGTCACATTACGTCACGACGCTTACCGCGCATTTTTAATGTAAAACACTGCCAGTAGTCGATTGCGAGGTGTGCACGCTGGTGAAGCGAAACTCACGTTTTGTTGTAGAACGGCATTTGGCGGTCAAAACGCGTAAGCGTGGGCTGGTGTATCTGTAGTCAAGACATCATTTTTAGAAATATTCTCGCTAGAACATGAACGCGCTTTCGAAAATGTTCAGCGTAGTGAATCTGAATTGTCTAAACAATTTTAACGCGCGCTTGAGTAGAGCGAGGGGGAAATTAACCCCCCCCCGAAGGTTTTTCAAAATGATTTTCGAACGGCACTGCATAGCCGCACCCAAATTTTGCGCAGCTGTAGACAACTGTATAGCGGTTCGCTTGGAATAAAAAAGCAGATATGCTTTGCAGATAATAAAAGCAGATATACTTCGCAAGGTCGCTGACCTATGACAAGTTAAAGTCAGGCCATGGTCTCAACGAAGTTAGGTTCTAGGGGATCGTTCAATCTGATGCAACAGCGGACTGTTAGACAAAGCCACACATCTCTGAGATGATTTCTTAGGCAACACAAATACTGAACGAGCAATTTACGTTGACCCAAGGTCAAGTATGAATTTCAGATCAAGGCCAAAACCAACCTGTTTTACTACTACAGGGTTTGCTGTGCGGGATAGTTTCTGGTGCTCATTTAGAATTTATTGATAGCAGGAGCCGCATAATACAACTTCCATTGGCTTCTTAGAGGTCAGAATAGGCCCTTGACTGAAAATGACCAAGGTCAACATTTTGGTTTCATAAACATACTGCCTCCCCAGCCTGCATGTCGAATTGGGACCCATAAAGGTCCCAGTTGGACAACTATATGGGGCCCACCTGGGCTGTCCACTTTGGTCCGACGTGGGCATGTTATGGGCCAACACCTGGGTGTGATATGGGTGACCCTTGTTGGGCACATGTGGGGCCTAACTGGGGCACACATGGGGTCCATCCAGCGCATACAGCCGCGACCCATGTGGGTCCGAAATGGACAACCGAATAGGGCCCACCTGGGCTTGCAACCTCGGGCCCACGCGGGCATGTCATGGGCAACTAACTGGGTCGGACCTGGAAGCCATGTGGGGCCATTGTGGGGCTTAGCTGGGACACATATGGGACCCACCAGGGCAGCCCAGATGCGACCCACCTGGGCAGCCCAGTTGGGACCCGCCTGGGTAGCTCCGTTGGGACCCATACGGGTCAGTCCACCTAGGACCCATGTAACCAGCCCAGATGGGACCTTTTTATCCACCCCAGATGGGCCCCCAGTTGGGCTTCACCGATCTGCCATCTCAAATTCCATCTGATTGATCGACCGCCGTAATTCCAGGCAGACTGCTTCATGTCATCGATAACAAGCCAGGTCAAAGTTTATTCACCTTGCATTTGACCAAAACTGCCTCGACAACAGCACTCTTGCGCAGAATATACACTTCGCTGTTATCACACCGGATGCGACAATCACTAAACCATTCAACAGATGTTAGGTGTCGTCGTTGCCGCCGTTGTCAGCGCGATGTTCCTTGTCGTCGTCGCAGTCTCTCCCGTCGAAACCATTTTTCTGGCGTCTCTTCCCTTTTGTTGCGGGAGACGCCGCAGCGCGGTGTGTTGCGCAGGATGGCTCCTGAAAATGGCGATATTCAGTGCCTCATATCACTGCCCCGCGGCCTGAGTGTGGGTGATTATTCACGTATACCGATTTTGATACTGGAAGAACTGGTTGTTTGTTAAGCCGTTTACTGAGGTTGAAATAATGAGAGCATCTATGTCGAATAGCAGTGCAGAAATTCACTACACATGCACTCTCATGTGTAGTGAACTGAGTACATGTATGGACAAGCTTAGCGAGAGATCACTTACATGGAGTACTTGCATGAAAGCCGACTTGAGTTATGCCCTTCTGCAGTCACAATAACGACATTAGAAATCAAGCAAAACGATTACATTCTATGAGAAAGAAGTGGTGCGCTGTATTTTATTTTCCCAGGATGATGCTAACAAGCTTATCAGTCATTATCAGAGAGACTGGAGCGCAGTAGCTGTCAGATGTCTATACGGGAATACAGTATTGTCGCGAGAGATCGTTTTTTTAGTGCGGCTGTTTTCCGATTCACTCACTCATTAAAGGATGAGTTTGGGTTGTTTTCGGCACTCGCTCTTTGCCCCTGCAATGGATGGCCTGCGGCTGATAGCAATAAAAGCATTCGCCGATGATTGATAGGTGCACCTGTTAAAACATCTGAAATCAATTATAAAACAGCGAACTCCGGGAAAACACTGCCGGCCCACTTTTAGAAAGAATTCTGCCACTTCTTTCTTATGTCACAATTCCGAAACTTGGTTTGCTAATATTTCCCCAGGAAGGTGCTCAAAGAAATCAAATAGATAAAATGGGATTGTCTTCGCCATGTTCATCTTGTTGAAGTACCAATAATCGTGGTAAGGACATCCTCGCTGTAAATTTTGGTAGAATTGCACGTGAAGCACGAGCTGAACATTACAAGCCCATATGGTGTAATGCCTGCTTTCCCAAGCATGACGATTCTGGAGCAGCACCAGTTGTCTTTCATGGAAGCGTTTGATTGCTGTACCAGCTTGCTGGCAGACATACTGATTCCGAGCGATCAGGAGCACTCCTCAAGCAGCGTTCCAGAGCAGAGCAGCCGCAGTTCTCAGCAACATCTCAGCAGTACAACAGTAAAGCGTTTTTCCATCTAAGGGTTGGGGCTGATGCCCATCCTTCCCCCCCCCCCCCCTCAAAATCAGCAACAGCGAACCTCATCCTGCCGGGAAAACATGCAAAAGGGGCGTATACTTAAAAATACCAATAGCACGTCACTCACATGTTGCAAGCAAACACATCAGGAGAAGCAGGCCATGAAATGCTGCAAATGTATTACCCCATATGTAAAAAGTCATGCAGGTCCAGGGCCTCGTCTAAGGCCTTTTCAATTAGCGAGGGGGAGATTTCTTGCCCATACATAATTAACCTAACATGACGCTGTACACAGTGACGAGAACCAACTCCATTAAACTTGAGTTCACTTAACTAGGGGAGGGGGTTTCCACGCCACTGGGTGGGAGGGCTGCACATCACTGGAGGGATTTTCGCCCCCTATTCAACATGGGTGCACGGCACCCTGCACGGCGCAGCACGGCCCTGCGAGTGCACCGGTCGTATCAAACACACCAAACCAATGAAAAGGAATCCTGCCGCATGAAAGCACAATGCAATAAACGGAAATGATTTCGCACAACGCACACTCACCGGTGCGCCCAGCACGCGAACGAAAACACTTCCAGGAGCTGTCCTCCCTACGTGTCGACCTGTCTGGGGAATGCAGCCACCCTTCTCGAGCCGCGCACCTGAGCGGGTCCGACGCCAACCGGCCGCCAGCACCCAGCATAATAACCAGGACCCCCGGCCGGGGACCAGGTTGCCAAGCATGGGCGAGTGAACGACCGCGTTTTTTGGAGGAGGGCTTTGGGGATCGAGTTCGCCTCCCAACAACTGATATGATTTAGCACTAAGCTTGCGACGGTACATGGAATGGAACACCTCAAATGCTTCTGACCTCATCCCCTCCCAATACTTCACAACTTCCCTCGGTCCTGCGAACAGCAAGGGGCACGGGGTGCGTCAGCGCAGGCAGAAACGCAATGGATGGGAGGGCGGGTCTGGACAGGTGGACTGCCGGCGTCGCCGGTGTGGTGTTAATGAGCGGCACCGTCCGCCGCTCCCGGGGTTCGATGCAAGGAACATGCCTTGTTTATGAGAAAGTCCCCATGCTCAGAGTCCCCATGTATACATAGATGTATTATATATTAAATGCATTTCGTTCCTCGCTGTCTAGATTTACAGGCCGAATTCTGAGGGCACTAGCTCGCTAGCTCGCTCGCACACGTTGCTACTCCGACATCATCAGCGAGCTAAACATGGTGGACAGCCCGACTCACCTTCGCCCAACTCCGTCAGCGCTGGATCGCATCGTCACCAACCAACGTGAGCCTACACCTGAGGTCAACGTCTTGCCTGACGTCATCAGCGATCATCAGCCTGTCCTCATGAGCACATGCCTGGGATCTGGGGCGTGCCCGGAGGAACCCGCAGTGGCGTACTCTGCGCAGCCGGAAACGTGCAGACTAGAGTGCCATCTGTCCCGATTTTCTGTCATCCGACTGGTGCCAGCGGATAATGCCACTGACGTCAACGCGTGCCTGCGACACTTCATTGCTGTGTGGAACGCTGTGGTGAGCCGCCACTGCCCAGTTAGAAGAATGCGCGTCTCCAAACCGCACTGCCGCTGGCTGACCGATGACTTGGTCCGGCGAGCGCTCATGTTCGAGCGAGACAGCGCGCACGACTCCTGGTTGCGGCTGCGCACACTAGAAACCGGGCCCGACTTTACGCGACTTCGCAGTCAGGTTAAGAGCCCTCTAATTGCAACAAGGCGCGAGTTACATTGCGGCGAGATGATGCACGGCTGCTGCCTTGGCCTCTAGTCTACAATTAAGAGGTTTGCCAAGGCAGCTTCGACGCCGGCCGAGGGCGCGTCTGCGGTGAGCCCCGAGGGGGCCGAGGTGACGGCGGACAAGCTCAACCGCCAGCTCGCTGTCGTGGGGACCCGTATCGCAGCCAACCTGCGGAGTGCAGTGAACGCCGGCTCCAACAAGCCCAGACCGCCCACCGTCTGCACCGCCGGCTCCTCGTTCCGACCTGCGACGCTACCAGAGCTGTCACGGTGTGTTCAGCGTATGAGCATATCGTAGGCGGTGGGCATGGATAAGGTCCCTCTCCACGCTGTGTGGGAACGTTTTTTTCAGTCGTCGGCCCTTATCTTCTAAAACACGTCGACAGGTCTCTCGTGACCAAAATTATCAAAATAGCTGGAAGACGGCATCTGTTGTACCAGTCACGAAGTCAGGTGAACCGGCTGCACCGTCCAGCAATATCTCCATATCTCTGCTCAGTGTGCTCTCGAAGATCTTAGAAAAGGTAGCTCGCACACATGTAACGGAACCTTTGAACGCGACAGCGCTCTGCTGCATCCATCCCAGTATGCCGATAGGCCGCGCCACTCGACCGAGGACTCCATATTCGCCGCAGTCGAACGCCTGGCCCCCATCACCGCAGGCGGTCTTGTATCGTCGGTAACGGCTATCGATTTGTTAAAGGCGTTCGATAGCGTCGACCACGACGTGCCCCTCACAAAACTGTCTTGGTATGGCGTTACCAGCGTGGGATGGTTTAGGAGCTATTTGAATGGTCGAGTGCAGGCGGTGCTTGGAGGGCAGCTTGCTCTGCCCATGTGAAACGGTGTGCTCCAAGGCTCGATCATCGGTTCAATCTTGTTCATTCTGTTTACCAACGATCTATATGGCTACCTGATTCATGGCCGCCTCATCTGCTACGCTGACGACACCAAGCACGTGGAGTGCGGGCCTCCTGACGAACCAGGTCTCGCCGACCTCAAAACCAGACCGCACATGCGTGAGCTTTAGAGCTGGTTCAGTGCCAATTCTCTCCAAAAGAGCACAACAAAAGCTGCTTTTATGGTCGTTGGGTCAAAGCAAAGTTTGAAAAGTTAGCTGACTTCTATTTTAACACGCGCCCGTGTGGCCAGCTGGATACCCTTCGCTCGGGTGGGGGTCAATTTGTCCCTCGCCCCTGAGATCTTAGGAACTAAGAGAGCTGGAGACACCAAATTTACAGGGTGTGTTGTCCTGTACCTGAACTCACTCAGATTTGATTTGTAGGTTCCTAGGTCATGATATTCATGTCAAGTAAGGTCAAACGAGGTCAGTCTCCAGGTTGGTGTCCAAAGTGCCTCAGAACCTAGATCCTGTTCTAGGCAAAAGGCCACATGCTCACCTAAGGTCAGTGACCTTGTTTGACCTTTCGAAGGTCATTGAGGCCAAAATTATGTGAGACTGCTTTGAGCTTTGCACTTGAATAAGCGACAAAGATTACGCTAGGCAGCATGTTCCTACAAACAAAATGCTGACGGTGATCATTTTAGATCAGTGACCTATTCTAACCTTTGAGAAGTGCATAGAAGATGTATAATGCGGTTCTTGATATCAATAAATTCGAAATATGCACAGAAACTACCCCATACAACAAGCGTTAGGTATTAAATCAGATTCGCTTTGACCTTGGTATCACCTTCAAAACTGACTAGGTCGATCGAATTTGTTTATTCAGTTGTTGTGTTGTCTAAGGAAGTATCTCAGAGATGTAGGGCTTTGTATAAAACTTCTTTGTTGCACCAGACTGAACGATTCCCTAGAAAGCAGCTTCGTAGAATCCATGGCCTGACTTCACCTGCCGTATGTCAGCAATCTCACGTTGCACATCTGAATTTTTAACATCAAACGATCCGTTATTCAGTTGCCTACAATGTCACAAAATTTGGCGCGGATACACCGTGCAGTTCGGAAACTATTCCGGAAAATCCTTCGGGGGTCAATTTGACCCCTCTCGAGCGCGTGTTGGAGTAAATGGTTCGACTGTGGATGCCTCAAGTAGCATCAAATTCTTGGCGTCATAGGTGACTCCAGTTTGTTAGGGAACGCCGATAACTCGAGCGTCGCGAAAAAAATACAATGACATCGTTGTTTCTCTGTACATATTCCGCCATTACTTCTATTCAGATTTTCCCAAAATCATCATCCCGATGTACGCATTCCCTCTTGTCACGTATCGCCTGTGCGCATGGGGTGAGCGACCAACAGTGAACTGCATACAATTTAAAAAAGGAACCAATCGACTTTGCTGCTAGAGAACTGACCGGCCCCAAAACGCACAGCCATACAACTCCGCCGCTGATTTCGTTTGCATGGCCGAGGATCGAAATCATGGTGACGCACCGCGACCTGATATGTGTTTCAGGCGCTTAATAAGGTTGGCGGGCTTCACAGGGTCCGCACGTTTTTTGCCCCATGTGCCGCTGTTTCGAGTCGTGAAACTCGCTTCTCGGACCATGGTAGTCTATAGTTGTGCAAGCACCGACCGACTGCCACACAAAGGGCGTTATTGTGTCGAGCCGCAGCAGCCTGGAACAGTCTGCCATCGCGCGTCCGCCATGCCACAACACTGAGTGCACTTAAGACCGCCACACGCGATGTGTTTTTATTCACTGACAATGGATCTGATCCGGCCTATAGTACATAAATAGGTCTGACTTAGCTCTTTGGCCATTGTTTGTATTATTTTTGTGAATCTTTTGTGTGTGTGCCTTTTCATACTGCACCTGTATAACCTTAAACCGTGGTAGCCACTATGTAGATGACTTCAATATACTGATACTGGTACTGATACTAGGTGATGTAAACATCATCACGTGCCTGACATCCTATGGGTACTTCAGTCATGTATATTACATCACTGTCGTTCATTGATATTCATTGCTATTGAATATGACTCATGTCAGGTAATGTCAGATAGCGTATACAAGTAAAATAATAGATCTCGAACGATGTAAAACACCGCACATGCCACCGTACTACCCTCAGTCGAACGGGCGAGCGGAGGCGGCAGCGAAATATGCCGCGAAGTTGATCCGCCGCGTATTGACGAGCGGACCTCATCAGCCGACTACGATACCTGGGTTACCAGCGCTGGACGAGCGGACCTCATCAGCTGACCACGATACCTGGGTCACCAGCGCTCTGCAGAACCCGAACACGCCCGGTCCCGACCGCCGATGTCCGGCGCAAAGTGTGCTCGGTCACCCGGCGAGGGGCATGGTCCCAGCACACCAGCGGTCGTTTGCCTTGTGCTGGCAACACATCGCGGACGAGGCCGTCGCAACAACAGCCACACGCCGCGAGGAGGTCCGACAGAGGTACGACCGGCACGCCCGTGACCCCCGTGGCCTGGAGATCAGGCAGCCAGGTCGCGATCCTGGCTCCGGCGACCGAGCGGCGAGACCGATTCAGCGTCATCGCGGAGGTAGGACCGGTTCATCGCCATCGCAGAGGTGGGACCGATTCAGCGTCATCGCGGAGGTGGGACCGGTTCAGCGTCATCGCGGGGGTGGGACTGCAACGGCGGCGCTTCGATCGACTGCCGAGCGGCCGCGTGCTGGCGTCGGACCGGCGGTACCTGCACCAGCGGCACGAACACGCCGCACCGGACATCGCCACGCCGGCGCCCTCGCCGGGCGCCTCAGGCCAGACTGACCCCGCTCCACCAGCCGCCCCGCGTCGTGTGTTCTGCCGCCTAGCGCATCGCCTTCGTTCCCGTCCCGCCGATTCCAGCAGAGGTTGCGCCCACGAACGCCAGATATGAACGATTCGACACCTATATGTTTATTGGCCTTGATCGTCGTACGGCCAGTTGAATAACAGGATATTAGTGACGTTGTTATGGCGTCATGGATGCTTGGGTGACCTTGAAATAGTCTCCCCAAAATAGTTCGCACGTCTGCGCGGCCGTGTAGCTCAGCAACTAGAAGGGTTTAGGTCCTAGGAGGGGCAGGACTGTGAACTGCACCGAATGGTCTTCAAGGTAGCTATTTCAATTAAAACCCCCACACAGATGAGCGGCCCCCTATTTGAATATTATTGTGCCCAACATCATACTATAATTACATATGTCACCCTATTGTTATAAATTAGTAACTATTATTATATCATAATAATAACAGGCAATTCATGTAATGTCTAGCATTGGTATCTTGGATCCCGAGCAACATTTGATATTAAGGCATCAGATGTAATGAAATAGGCTCGCTTATAGCTATCGGTATACGTTTAAGAAGAAAAGACTGCGCTGCAGAAAACATTTTCTCTATCCAGCAAATATACATTTCACTACGGCATTGTCTGACTGTCATGAAATATATGCATGACGTTGAGGCGCTGCTGAACTAGCCATGCAAAGTTGCCCCCCTAGCATTTACTTGGAGCCCTTTAAACCCGCCGATGTATGGCGGCAGTGGTGCTGGAAGTGTTCAGTGTCAGTGTCAATATCAGTATATTGGAAACCATCCACATGGCTATTACGACTTCAGATCACAGCCATATTTCAAATTGCATCCAGGTGCAGTATAAAAAGGTACACACTTAAAGTAAACGATAAAATGATACGGACAGTGGTCAAATAGTTGAAACAGTCCTATCCACGCACTGTGGCCGGATCCGGACAATGGTCAGTGGTCAGTAGTAGAAATCACAACACGTATGGAGGTCTTAACCGCGCTCAGTGACGTGGCAGCACAGACGTACGATGGCAAGGCGGTTTCGAGCAGATGCGGCCCGATGCGAAAACGCTTTCTGCGTGGCGGCTAGTCGGTGTCTGCGTAGGTGCAGGCTTCCTCTGTGCGAGGCGAGCGTTTCACGGGTCGACAGTGGCGCGTGGAACAAAAAAGCGCGCAGACCTC